TAGAATGAAACGCGGAGGAAAGTGAAACGGTATNATTCATGAGAGAAATTGAGCAAAAGTATCTCATGTAATTATCTGGGAATTGTTTGGTTTATTAGGGTCAAGTAAATGTGTAACGTTCAGTCCAAAATCTGGTAATTAAATNAATCAGATGTTTCACAAAATCCAGGACTGCGAACATCATCCAATTGCTCGCTAGGTAGAGCATTGAGGATCGAATTCCGTCGAAGTNGTAGAGATCACTCTACTTGTTTTTGCCATAAGACCCTGAGAAAGTTGCAGCCATCTGATTTCTTCCACTGTTTCTCAAAACTGTTCGACCCTTCGTTATTTTTTTTTTTGGTAAGGGGATAGAGGGGTAAAGGGACCACGAACTGTTTTTCATTTAAGGGGAGGTTACTATGAGTTTTAAAAGTCGCGGAATATTGCAGTGAGATTTATCGTACAGTGAAGATCGATTATATATGTTGAAAAACGAAGAATCAGTGCAAAAAAAGATTANAGCCAACGCAGTCAACACGGCGCTCCTCGAGCGAATTGAGCAGCTGACGGTGGTCGTTGCCGCCATGCAAACGCGCGACCCATGGTCTCGTTTACGAACACGTCANTCCAGTGTACTCTATTTCAGAGCTACGAGAGTCTTTTTTTCTCAAAATTTTTTCAAATATGTGTAGAACAACAATTACGAGGTACTTGTTTCAAATTCAACTCCTAAATAGTCAATTCCGTGACTTTTTAAATTTAAAAAATCAATATTCCTGGAAAATAGCCAGGAAAATAATCCTGAAAATAATTATAGTATTTAGGATTTGAGGAAAAAATTTTGAAGTATTCATTCTCCGGGCTGTTTTGCTTGAATATTGCAATTTTTATTCGGAAAAGAATGAAATTGGTTATTTAGAAANAATAGACACTACAATAGCCTTTATTTTTCTCACAAATTTATTCCTTAAGCTTAATCGCGCTGTGAAGGAAAAATTCATCGATTTTATTTCTCTCTGAAATAAAATGAAATAAAATCAACATGGTAACAACAGCAGCTGACCTCCAAACAACTTCCACCGTAACGACAGCAACGGCTATAATGAGGCCCAAGCTCATCGCAAGGCCGTTCGACGCGAACAAACCCGCGCTATGGTTCGCACAGCTGGAGACACAGTTCGCTGACCTGGGATACGTCACCGAGTCAGATAAGTACAACAAAACGGTACCGCTGATTGACACTGCTTACGCGGCAGAAGTCGAACATTTAATTGTCTCCAGACCTGTAACAAATCCATACCAAACATTAAAAAACGAACTAATCAGATGTTTCACAAAATCCAGGACTGCGAACATCATCCAATTGCTCGCTAGGTAGAGCATTGAGGATCGAATTCCGTCGAAGTACCTGAGACATTTAAAAAGTCTTGTTCCAGGCATTGACGACGAGGTCCTGAAAACGCGCTGGTTGTTTCATCTCCCCGAGCAGACGCGAGCTACACTCGCCACCCAGGAGGACGCTTCCATTGATGATCTCGCGAAGCTAGCAGACAGGGTGCACGAGGTATTCAACCCGAACAGCGTCGCAGCAATCACCAGCTCGCCAGCCAACGCAGTCAACACGGCGCTCCTCGAGCGAATTGAGCAGCTGACGGTGGTCGTTGCCGCCATGCAAACGCGCGACCCATGGTCTCGTTTACGAACACGTCAAGACGGCTCACAGGGTCAGCGCAGCCACTCGCGCCGACGCTCCAGCTCGAGGAAAGTATCAAAGGATTTTGACACCTGCTGGTATCACTACAAGTATGGTGATAATGCGCGTAACTGTCGACCTGGTTGTAAGTTTCAGGGAAACGCTGGAGAGAGACAATAGTGGCGGAAGTCGTCTCTCAATTNATTTGAGGAAAAAATTTTGAAGTATTCATTCTCCGGGCTGTTTTGCTTGAATATTGCAATTTTTATTCGGAAAAGAATGAAATTGGTTATTTAGAAATCGAATTTCGAAAAAGTACCTCGTAATTGTTATTCTACAGATCTTTTGAAAATTTTTGAAAACTATAGATTCTGGAATTTTCAATCATCAAGTTTGTCTATTGGAGTAGCTCCACCCTCACGATAAATTTGAAAATCATTATAAACTGCAAGGAATTCCCAAGAAATTCGATTCGATTCGGAAGCGTATTTTTTTCTCATTTTAATGCNTATCACCGACAGGACGACTGGGACCCAATACCTAGTGGACACAGGCTCAGCCGTCTCTGTTACGCCTCGCAGGCGGCCACCAAGCAAAAGAGAGACCAGTGGCTATAAACTCTTCGCGGCCAATGCNAGAAATCGAATTTCGAAAAAGTACCTCGTAATTGTTATTCTACAGATCTTTTGAAAATTTTTGAAAACTATAGATTCTGGAATTTTCAATCATCAAGTTTGTCTATTGGAGTAGCTCCACCCTCACGATAAATTTGAAAATCATTATAAACTGCAAGGAATTCCCAAGAAATTCGATTCGATTCGGAAGCGTATTTTTTTCTCATTTTAATGCCCGTTTGGATTTTTTAGTGAAAAAATGGTGGAAAATCAGGATTTAAACCAGTGCGGAGCTGTTCNGCGTCAAGACCTTGGTTTCCCATTGTTCTCGCGGAACCAAAACAAACCGACTAAAGGNCAGTCTGCTACCGGACTTGAGAAACGGAGCAATCATCGACAGCGCGACAGTCCGCGCTCCAATCGAATGGCCAGTCCGCGCGATTCCGCGCGACGTCTGTCAAGCTCCTCGAGATCAACGAGGATTCACCGTACGCGTCGATCCTCAAAGAGTTCTCAACAATAACAAAACCGGGAGGATTGCTCAGAAAAGCGGAGCACTCCACCGTTCATCACATAAGGACAACACCAGGACCACCAATCTCCTGTAGAGCTCGCCGCCTAGCGTCGGATAAACTCAAAACCGCTCAAGCGGAGTTCTCCAGCATGCTGACGCTCGGAACCGCAAGGAGATCTGAAAGTCCCTGGGCATCCGCGCTCCACCTGGCCCCTAAGGGCAACAACGGATGGAGGCCATGCGGTGATTACCGCGCACTCAACGACAGGACAATACCAGATAAGTATCCTGTTCGTTATCTAGACGATTTTGCTGCCAACCTTCATGGCAAAATAATCTTTTCCACCATAGATTTGGTTAAAGCCTTCAACCAAATTCCAGTGGCACGCGAAGACATCCAGAAAACGGCAATAATCACGCCATTTAGACTCTTCGAATTCCCATACATGACATTTGGCCTCAGAAACGCAGCTCAGCCATTCCAACGTCTGATCGACGAGGTCACACGCGATCTACCATTTTTGTTCCTGTACATAGACGACATCTTGGTAGCATCGGAAAACGCGGAGCAACATCGCGAGCATCTGAGGATCCTCTTCCAACGGCTCCAGGAGTACGGGCTGATAATCAACGTCGCCAAATCAGTCCTCGGATAGCCAGAGGTACTTTTCCTCGGACACGTGATCAACGTTCAAGGAATTAAACCCCCCAAGGATCGAGTCAACGCGATCCTGGAGTTCACAAGACCAACAACGGTTAAATCGCTACGCAGTTACCTCGGAACTCTAAATTTCTACCGGAAGTTCATCAAGGGAGCAGCAGAAATCCTCGCCCCGCTGAACGCCGCGACTCAGGGGACGAATGTCAAGGGAAAGCAACCAGTAGCCTGGTCTCCAGCCCTTGAAGAAGCATTCACGCGCAGCAAGCAGGCCCTAGCAGAAGCCACTCTGTTGTCTCATCCGAATTTCGAGGCAGAGTGGGCTATCTTCACAGACGCGTCGGATCACGCGATCGGCACCGTTCTACAGCAGGAACACCACGGTTCCTGGCAGCCGTTAGCCTTCTTCAGCAAGAAACTTGGAATTTCTTCGCANCTAGCAGAAGCCACTCTGTTGTCTCATCCAAATATCGAGGCAGAGTGGGCTATCTTCACAGACGCGTCGGATCACGCGATCGGCGCCGTTCTACAGCAGGAACACCACGGTTCCTGGCAGCCGTTAGCCTTCTTCAGCAAGAAACTTGGAATTTCTTCGCAGAAACACGCGGCTTACGACAGGGAATTACGACAACTAATCTACGAGGCAGTACTGCACTTCAGGCACATCTTTGAAGGACGACATGTGATAATTTTCACCGATCGCAAACCGCTGACTCACGCGTTCCAACAGAAACTGGAACGAGCTTCACCCTGGCAATACAGGAGACTGGACTATATCGCCCAGTTTTCCACGGACATCAGATACGTCGCGGACCCAGACAACGTCGTGGCAGACGCCCTATCACGAGTAGAGGAAATCACGACTGCCGTCACACCTCAGCAGCTGGTAGATGCCCAACGCGACGATGAAGAACTCCGACAATTACTCCAGCGACCGGACATGAACCTGCGACTGGACCGCTTACAACTGGGAGGAATGGACGAACCACTGTACTGTGATGTATCATCAGGTACAGTTCGCCCATACGTTCCTGCTCCGCTGAGACAACAGGTCTGCAGCTCACTGCACTCAATGGCTCATCCTGGACCCGAAGGCACGCGAAAACTCGTGACACAACGCTACGTGTGGCCTGGCATAAACAAAGACTGTGCCCAATAGACCGAATACTGCCTGGAGTGCCAGAAAAACACGATAACGCGACACACGGTCACACCAATAGCTAACATCAAGACACCATCACGACGATTCGAACACATACACGTCGATTTAGTCTCTCTTCCTGCCTCAAAAGGACACAGTTGGTGCTAGACCATCGTCGACAGATTTACGCGATACCCAAAAGCAGTTCCACTGATCGACTCGAGGATGCCAACAGTAGTCAACGCGATTCTTCATCACTGGATCGCGCGCTTCGGCATCCCCTGAGAATTACATCTGACCAGGGCGGTCAATTCGTCTCAGACACCTTCAAGGAGCTTACGCGAATTCTGGGCACCGAGAGGTTGATGACGACGCCATTTCATCCTCAATCAAACGGCATGGTTGAGAGAATACATCGCCAACTGAAAGGAGCACTGCGATGTCATGGCGAAGCTTGGTACGACGCACTTCCCCTGGTACTTCTAGGGTTGAGATCCGCGTGGAAAGAGGACCTTCAAACGACTCCCGCCGAGCTAACATACGGGGAACCGATCCGTCTACCCGGAGAATTCCTCATCCCATCGAACCAACAAGCAGCAGCACCGGAATTGGTGAGAAATCTACGCGAGCATTTCCGCAGGATCGCACCGACTCCCGCTGCACGTCACGGTACACGTTCAACCTTCATCTTCAAGGATCTAGCGACGTGTACACATGTTTTTGTCCGCGATGACCACGTGCGAATGGCATACCGATCACCGTACATCGGCCCATGTCGCGTAATCAGTCGTCATGACAAATACTTCGTCATTTGGTACTAGTCCGGAGGATTGGGTAACTACACGAATCCACCGATCTCCATCGACCGACTGAAACCAGCGTACGTACTCCCGGAGGACATGGACCAGGTCCAAGGACAGCCTCCACCGCCAGACGTACCAGAAGAGCCTCAACAACAACAGAATCAGCCGCAGCCGAGCACGGCGAACAGGACTCAGAGGCGGAGGAGACGCGTAAACTTCGCGAACAGACCGGCAATCCACGTCTATACTGTCTAAATTTCCTCATCATAATTTTTTTTTCACCTGCTTATTATATTTCACCTGTTGCGAGATTAATCTTTTTCTGTTGCAGTGCTGAAAAACTACCTTTTTTCACTTAAGCAGGGGAGTCATGTAGCGTCTCGCTACACACACACCAACGCGTAACACGCACGGATACGACAACGCTGAGAGACGACTGGACATCGGTGACATCATCGCGCTCTGTCACGCGCCCAGTATAAAATACCTCTCGTTCGCACCTATTGTCACGCGTATCCAAATTCCCGTCTTACGCGATCTATTATAGTCAGTAGAGTCTAACACTGACCTCCGATCAGATCACTTTGATTATTCTTTCTCTTTTGTATATATATTCTAAAGGTCTTGATTAAACTGTAATTTAAATACTAATTACATTTGTTAGTGAATCGTTACATCCCTCAACAACCTCAATTCCTACAGGGGAGGTGGAGGGGAGGAGGGTGAAAATGTCATATAAATACGGGAAAAAGTCACGTGTTACCAAATAAAATTTCCAATGCTGGAATTTTTCCCTGGCCGTCACTTTGAGCCCTTTTTCCAGTGCCAGCACTAGAATTTTTCTAGAGAATTTCTCTCCGTGCAAAATTCGAAATGGAGGCATAGCCGTTACGATGACGAATAAATGATTTTTAGGGTGGAAAATTGATTATTGCTGAAGGATTTATGGAAAACGATAAAAATATGAATTTATTAATTATTTCATGAATTTTTCACACGAAACAGTGTAACAAAACGGTTATAGATCCCGTCAAAAAGTGAAACAATTAGAAGGTCCAAACGGGAAAGATTTTCTTCCTTCACCCTCCTGTGTGGCCCTTGTGATCCTTTCAGACGACTCTAACGTTTGACCCATATAACTATTTGATTCTACCTTTCCTTTCGACCCTTGTGAAATAAGAGCTTTGGACTCTGGTAAACTGGGTGACCCTGATAACCTATTTTACCCCTCTCCTCCCCCTAGTTGATACGAAAAAAAACAAATCATCTGAATTCCGCTATATAATCGGTTTTTGCCATCGTTTCATTTTGCCCGGCATTTCACTTTACCCTGGGTAACCTACGACCATTTTTTATGGATAATAATTATTATATAATATAATTCATTCATTTATGAAAAATCAATTTTCCGGCCTGCAAATCTTTTTTTCGAAATCGTAACTAATTTATAAATTTTCAGAATTTTACTAGAAATTATTTTCATGCACAAAAAATAAGGTTCCCAAAAGTTTAAACAATTTTAATTATTTATTTGCAAGAATAGAATGTTCGAAAGAATAATAATTATTTACAAAATGTAATTTAAATGAAGCTGGATATCCATGATTTTTTTTTTCAATTTTCACACGTAATTTGATTGAAAAATTTAATCGTTGAAAATGTCTGAATGTATAATGTGATCTGTATCAAACTGTAGCAAGTACTTAAATATGTCCTCAAATTTACTGGATGGTTTACTGGGGAGATACTGGACCAGTAAAATTTTTGGTGCAACCCAATAAATTTACTGGACAGATAAATTTTAACAGTCTGTTAGTCTAACAGGCTGTTAAATTCGCCTAACAGGGGTTAGTGCAACCGGGCCTAAAAAAAATGTTTTTCATTTTCCTCCAAAAATGGATAAAATTCATTTTTTTTCTTCAATAATAAATCGACATTAATTTTCTATGATTCTCTATTTGTATATGAACTTGTGACGTATTGAGATCGATCAATACGTCGATTAGAATAATGTTAAGAGACCTTCGGTCGACATAGTGGATCATGAGAAAGAGGAATATGATTTCTCTTTCCTGCGATCCAGACATGAGCTCAGCAGTCACACGGTGTCGTATAGACATCGAGGTAAGCGGTCACACGGTGCCACCTGAGTCTAGCTTCCCTTGAGGAAGCTGTTTGACTGTTTAGGTCTGTGTCAGTGATGTCACATGACTGTGTTAGTCAGGGCGAATCGTGGGACTGCTTACCCTACAACTCTCTGGACTACTTGGAGACCAGAGTACGATCGGGAGCCAAACGCAGTGGATCTCCAAACTCGTCAGCCTATTTTTCAACCGATCAAGTTAGCCCGCGTATACCGGCCCGATTCAATAGATAGTGTACCGTAGACAATAACCCTTAGATAAAATATACGAGTAGCTTTTACCAGTTAATCGTGTACCTTATTTACGGACAATACCCTCTTCCCAATCATAACATCCCTCGGAGTGAGCGAACTCCCCGTGAGCTCATCGCCGCAGCAGCCGAGTCGGAGTGAAACATAAGTGAAGAGAAATATACGAAAAAAGAAATAAACCAAGTTAGATCGTCGAGAGGATTAATGCAGAAGACGATCTAACTCGAAACGTCACAAACTCATAGAAAGAAAATTTTAAAAAATGCAAGGAGAAATCATTAAAAAGAATTTTTTTTTGCGAATAACGAAAAAATATCAGCATTTTCACTTTCTATGACCTAATTTCAATGGGAGGAAGTGAAAAAAAAGCAAAGAAACGTGATCTACAAGAGAACAAAATTTTCAATCTTTCGATGTCTCCGGAAAATTTTTAAAATTGATATAATTCTTTTAATAATGGAGGAATATTCATGAATCAAGCTTCTATCCTCACATTTTGATAGAATACATCAAAAAAATACCAAACAATAAAATTAGGAGAGGAAAAATTTTATCGGGTTATTATTATGTAATAATAATAATAGATGGATCCATGCACATTAACTCCTTTACCGAACGAAATTGGAAGGCAGACGTCAGTAAAATAAAATTATCTTTGATTGGCGGAAAAACCCATCAAGCGAATTTTCGTCGTTATTTCCCATTTTTCCCTTCAAAATTTTTCTTGGATCATAATTTTCATCCAATTCAGATTTTTTTTCAATATTCGTCAGACTTCAAAAAATAAAATTAAGTATTCATTTTCCATTGCACAGAATGGATTGAGAAAAAATGAATCTTTTAGATTTAGTCTGTCTGCTCCACTGGATTTTTTTAGACATTATGCAAGAAGAAACAAAAAAGAATGCATTCAAAGGAAAATTTTTTTCATGGGCTATCCATAATTTATGACGTAAAATGGGTACTTAATTTCATTTTCTAGAGCCTATCGAAAATTACGGAATACAAAAATCTACATCAGATCCCTGGCAACTGAGGTTCCATGGTACATCCATGTTGTAGCATGGATGTAGCATGGATGTGCATGGATGTCATTTTAAGGCGAAAAATGGGCCAAAAATGATTGGAATATAATCAAAAAATTATTTAAATGCTGATAGACAAACAATTGGTCCCAATTAATACCCATTAATAGGTTATTTTGTATAATTAGGAGAAATTATTGATGGTGTGCTGTGTGGTAAAGAAGTTCAGATGGGAGAATGCCGCGAGATGGCGCCAGTGTTAAATTATCGAGTCGGCGG